GTGTGTGTGTGTGTGTGTGTGTGTGTGTGTGTGTGTGTGTGTGTGTGTGTGTGTGTGTGTCTGATACATTATAGTTCATCGAACTGTTCGATACTGATCTTGTGACGATACCTGTGGAGCACCCATTGTGGCTGTGATGGCGCTGATCTTGTGTGAGAGACCGTAATGACCACAGATCGGTGTGCAACCGTCGTGTACCTGTGATCGACACAAATGAAACTTGTTGCCAATGCCTACAGATCGGGAGTGCGGCTGTCTCGTAACTTCGCTGGATACAAATTTTTATCTGGTCGCCTCGAAGCTTAACGGGGTTCAAACTTTGAAGCTCATCGGCGGTGGCAGGGGATCGATTGGCCGTGCTGGGTTAACCATCTGCAGTGTACAGCCTGCAGCTCGCGCTGATGGGTACTTGGAGATTCCCAGCTCAGCATTGCAGGATTGAGCAGTTGTGGGCGTCGACCAGTTGTAATACTTTGTATGTTAGTTACGATGTTCAGCTGCTGGCGAGCAGAAGTGTGTGCTATCCATGCTCATGCTCATCAATAGCCATGATAAGCCGAAGTGGCTGGAGGTTAATCTATAGAAGCCATACTTATCAGCAGTACTGGGGGTGGCTAACCATGGTTAGTGGTTAGCAACTTAGCAGAGTGGCTAGCGGCTAGCCATAGCCATGGTTAGTGGTTAGCAGAAGTGGTGGGAGTGGCTATCTGTAGCCGTGGTTAGCAGAATGGCTGGCGGCTAACCATAGCCATGCTTAGCAGAATGGCTGGCGGCTAACCATAGCCATGCTTAGCAGAATGGCTGGCGGCTAACCATAGTCATGCTTAGCACAATGGCTGGCGGCTAACCATAGCCATGGTTAGTGGTTAGTAGAAGTGACTGGTGGGTAACCATAGCCGTGGTTAACAGAGTGCTGGGGGTGGGTGACCGTCCCTAGCCACGGTTACCAGACCTCACGGGGGTGCCTGACCATAGCCATGGTTTCGAGAGGTGGCAGCTATCGGTAGCCATGGTTAGCAAAGTGGCTGGCTGTAGCCATAGCCATTGTTAGCACTGCTTGTTAACCATAGCCATGGACAATGGTTAGTGGCAGTGGTTGCTTGTCATCGCGCTATGGTTCGCGTACGACCATTAAACATATTGCTAAGCGTGACACATCGGCTTGTAATCGGGCCTGTATGTCTGGCACATGATCAGTAATTGGGCCTGCATATCTGCCACATGATCGGCTTGTAATCGGGCCTGAATATCTGCCACATGATGATCCTCTGGCTTTTTTAACTTTTAAGTTTAACGCTCCAGCTTGCGCATCACACCGCTTATGATGTGGTAGGAATGTCCCAACCGCTTTTGCGTGCGCGTCTTTGAGTATCTCAGGATTGTGTTGTATGGACAGTTGTTATCGAAAGAGAGGGCTTGCATTCCGTTCTTCGTGGCTGTGCCGAACTGGGCGGATGCCCTTGCTTCACTGATTTCGCTGACTTCACGCCTTTGGCGTAGGATATGTCACCTGGGAGGTGCTGATTGGTTGGCCTCTTAGGATATAATATAGCCCACCGGTTTGGTGTTTGTTTGTTGGCATCCTAGGGTAGGGTATGTCACCCTGGGACGTGTTCATTTCACTCACCTGATTCCAGTGGAGTTCGAACTCGGTCTGTATTTCAACAATTCAGGGGTGTCTCTTAACTGAGCTACACCAGTTGGTGTGTGGAACGTGTTCATCAGTTCGCACCGAACTAAGGTATAGGATATATCCCATCTGGAACGTGTTTGTTGGGTTTTGCGTCATACGACAGGCGTTCGTCTGGCAGGTGTTCGTTGCTTGGAGTCTTTTAGGGAAACTGTTGGCTGTCACTGTATTTGCAGAACGCAGGGTTATTCTTCTCTTACCTATGACGATCATTCCTCTTTTACGGCTTGCGGACCGTATATTAGTCTCAAGGCAAGGTCTTTGCAGATTGCCAAACCTAAGGAAAGGTGAGCTTAGGGAGAGGGCTAGGCGCTGGCGGTGCTCTCTCCCCATGCTAGGAAAGCAGGAATCTGGCTGTTGAACTGACTGTGTTCATGCTAGATTAGCATAATCGTATACAAGTAGGGTACGAGACGCTTGCACAAATCTTTGGGGCAGCGGCTGTCCAGTAGTTTGTCGAATGTCTATTCTCAAATCTTTGAGGGTGATGCATTCTCCTCAAGTCCATGGAGATTTTTGGCAGTCTCAAGTTTTTTGAACAGGCGGATGAAGCAGGTGGCGAAGATGTTGACGTAGGAGGTTGGTAATGGTTCACGGAGACCTTCCGGGGATGTGAAGACAAAGCGTTGGAGAACAGAGCGGAGAGGTGACTTGCGATGGATCGGTTGATGTAATGCCTAAGCAAGTGCTGTACTACATGGTTTATTTGCTCAGCTTGGCCATTGGACTCAGGGTGATTTGCTGCTTCCATTTGCATTTGGCTTCCCATCTGCTGTATCCACATCTGCTGTGAAGATGAAGCATGCACAGCGAAGCATTCCCTCACCTTGATTGGTCAAGATGAAGCTGGAGCCATGTCGGATACAGCACTGTCAAAACTTAGAATGATTTCCCCGTTCCCTCCTTTTAATGATTGATTGGTTTACGTGATTGATTGGTTTACGGATTGGTGGGTGATTGATTGGATCGATTTGAGATGAGTAAGTGACTGAGTGAGTGAATTTGTGAGTGGCTAAGTGAGGTATAGCGAGTGAGCGAGCGAGGGAGGGAGGGAGGGAGGGAGGGAGGGAGGGAGGGAGGGGCAGTGAAGGACGGGAGGGAGGGGAGGGAGAGGAGGGAGAGGAGGGAGGAGAAGTGAAGACATGCATCACTTGAGGCATGCATTAAAACTTCAAAAGTGGTCAAAGAGAGGTGGCCTGGGAAGAAGGATTGTTTTGTGCTTGTTGAACACATTCCTGTTTGGGTAAAATGGT